TATTAACTTTCTATAATATAATTTTTATTAATTTAGCAGTGCGAAAATATAGTCTTTTATTGTATTTACGGAGGATATAATTTACATCCATCATTTTTAAAATACATCTTACAAACAAAAATAAAATTTATTTATAAAAACAGAGTTTTATAAACAATATACTCATTCCTATGAACAACAATATCATAGCGAAAAATATTAAATGTGATAGAATTTTAATGACAATTATTTATCAATAAAACTTTGAATCGAAAAAGTTTCTCCGCTATAGTTAAAACCCTATAACTTCAATGAGAAAAGTATCCATAATCTTGCTTCAATGCCTCAAATAAAAACTTAAACCAATGGTTAATTACTAAAGATTTCTTTTTAAAAAGACTAAATTGCTTAAGCCTTCTTTGTATTTGGCATTTAGAGATTGACTAAATACAGAGAAGAATCTGTAATGTCGTCGGTTCTGACCTGGCATCCCGCCTTCAGTTACATACCGACCGACGTAACGTAACTTCCATGTGTCTGTTCTATACATATTTTTATGGTATTTACTCTGATAAACTTTCCTCTTTGGTGCCCCGAATTTAGGAATTTAAGCGCAATACTAGATAAGCAGCTAGGCCACACCATTTCACAGTTGAAATTGCTATAGAGGTAACCGTATGTTCTATACTAACACCTTCTTCTCTTGCGTTTCTCGCTTGTGGAAATCTCTTCCGGCTTCTATCTTTCCAATCCAAATTTATCTTCAAAAATCTAAATGCAGTATCAGCTGTCATCTTCTTTCTCATTGAATCCTGTTCTTTTATTGTCTTCTCTCCTTGATAATGAGTTTTCTCGCATTTTGTTCACTCCGTAACCCCATGCGTTTTAGTGGATTTATCACTTTAATTAGGATAAAATGATTAGAAACAAGCTAACTCCAGCAAAGAGCATTCTCTTCCTAGCCAGGGAGAATGATTGGACGCTCGCTTGGCCTCTTTTTCAATTTTTCTTGGTTGAAAGGCAATGGATTTATCTTATTTGAAGTGGCTATATATATGTCGCTCGGCCTCGGAATTGAGTTTTATAAACAATGGGTTGAATTATTTTAAAATTGTAAATAATTTTAAAGTAATGTGTTGAAATTTTCGCAATATAATTTGAAATTAACTGAAGCGAAACTATATAAAATCCCACAAACCTGACTTTCGCGGGTAGCAAAATGAAACTTATTATGGAAAAGAGACAAATATAAATTTCTCTTAGAGGGAAAGATTCTTGTATAACGGTTAAGTTTCGAACTTTGAAAGGCACTTGCTTTCCTGTTACTTTATAATATTTTCTTTTGCACGAAACTAAAGTAAAGAACGCCAACTTCACAAGTTTCTTTCCCCCAGCCCCTGCACACACACAAACAAATATCAGAATACAAGATGATCCCGACTGAATTAAAGGAGAACATGTTCTTCCGTCCTAAACAGCCGTTATTTCATATCACGCGATCCAAACGCTCGAAGCGGCGGCAAAAAATACATGTCACGACAACGACTGTGACTATCATTATCGTTGACGTATCCGGTGTTCTCTTACCATATTCGTTTCATTTGAAAAAAAAAAAATTAAACAGATTTTTTTTTTATAAATTAAATAAAGAACATGGATTTTTCAAATGGATCCAGCGAAATTGATGTTCGTGTTCGATAGGTTCTGCGAAGAATCTCTTGAAGCAATAATCAATCATTCCTGTAATCATAAAGATAAATGTTTTGAACACATGTCTTTGCATTTATTCCTACGGTTGAAAATGTCTTCTTCTAACCGAAAAGGGGTGATATGACCTTGGAGGAAGAAAATGTCTTTGCATCAGGTTTCAGAATAATTGGAGAATTCCGTATAAAAACAAAATAAGCCAATAAATTTTATATTCCTACACTTCATCCTCTTTCCTTGTTTCCAAAATCCGATGATATAAGCATAAGATGCTATTGATCAGTACGTGATATTCTCCACAGGGAGATTAAGCAGAAGATATGCGTAGCAAGTGTCAAATCCAGTTTTCTCTGATTTCTTCGATAAAATTATGCTAACTGCAATGAGCCGAATACAAGGCTTAGTCCGTTTCGTCGTCTTCTTCTTCTTTGTGCCGTGCCCCTTCAGGACGTTGGCGATTATGGCTCTCCATAATTTCCTGTCTTTTTAGTTATTAATAAATTTTGTCTTTTTGTTAACTCTCCTAAACCTGGCTCCGCTATCAATTTACTCATGTCCGCTAGGTAGGTTATGTTTATTCCTCTGTCCCTCTTACCTTCAATCGGCCATGTGAGTATCAAATTTTCAAAGCCCTCTTTCCACATTATATGCCCTAGAACTTTCAACTGACTCTTCCTGACTATTTATTTGTTTCCATTTTTACTAAAACGTTGCTCACATGTTTTGTTCATAGTATTCTCAGCATACTTCTGTAGAATCCTATTTCTGTTTTTTTTTTGCCATAAAAGAGGACTGATATTACACAACGGCTCAGTACTCTTTTCTTTATTCCTAACGATATTTTCTTTTTCTTAATACTTTGCTTAGCTTTTAACGAACACAAACTGATGAAAGACCAAACTGATGAAGGACAAACGGATGAAGGACCAAATGAGTGTTTATAACACGATTATTTCGAGTATTGGAAGTAAAAGAAAACTTCTATTCTTCCTCAGTGCCCCCAGGTGAACCTGGCAAGACATTTATCATCAACCTACTTATGTCTAAAATGATCCAAATGAAACCTACTACTCAAACAGTAGAGTCAAGTAGAATAGCTGTAACCCTGCTAATTGGTAGCCGCAATCATGCTTCTAACTTCCTTTTAGACCTGTCCAAGAAAGAGAAAGCAACCTTCAACATCAGTCCTGTTAAAGGCAAACACCTCAGTGATGCCGAATTGATCATCTGGGATAAGGCGACAAAGATCCATTAGGGTTCCTTCGAGGCTCTTGATACGGCACTTCAAGATCTTAGACACAACACAATGCTCATGGGAAGTGCAACAATATTGCTTGGGGGAGACTTTAGACAAACACCTACAGAGATTCCGAAATGGAAAGATCTGACGAGGTAAATTCCAGTATAAAGTCTTCCCACGAGTGACCATTGTGAAAAAGCTGAGACTCAAAGCCAACATGAAAATGCATCTCAGTGGTGATGGGGAAACTGGTACTTTTTCGAAACAAATATTGGATGTTGGTAATGGTAAATATATACCGGGAAGGATGGCCGGATCAGTTTGCCTTTTGGACATATGGTATCTGATTTAAAGGAACTACTAAGGTATTTTCTAACTCGAGGAATCAGTTTACATACTACAACTGGCTGCGAAACCGCACTATTTTAACTCCAAAGAATTCGGCAACTGATGATTTCAAAATTAAACTTCTGGAACAGTTGCAAGGTGAGCGTCGCAACTACAACTCCATTGACGCTGTACTAAATGCCGATGAAGCTGTGAATCATCTAGTTGAATGTTTGAATAGCCTAACACCAACAGGCATCCCACCTCACAATCTTCACCTCAAGATTGGAGCACTGAAGCCTGGATCCACCGAAGCTTTGCAATGGTACACGACTTACATTTAAGAAAATGATACCAACAGTCTTAGAGTCGACAATTTTGATTGGAAAAGCAAGCAGTAAAGATGTATTTATCCCTAAAAATTCTTTTATTCCTTCAGATATACCTTTGTACTTCAAGCGGCTGCAATTCCCGTTGAAAACTGAATTTTGTAATCAGCATTAACAAAGCTATGGGGCAGTCCTTGGATGTGTTAGTCCTTAACCTTGCAGAACCTGTTTTCTCCCATGGCCAATTGTATATGGAATGTTCAAGAGTCGGCAATCCAAACTATGTGTTTATTCATACCCTACACGGAGAGACTAAAAAAGTTCTTTATCAAGAAACTCTGAAAACCTTGCAGGAAACACCCAATCGTTAGGTGTTTATGATTTAACTGTACTATTTGTCAATATTGTAAATCTTCTGTCAATCTTTCTATTATTCTATTTGTAAATCTATATATAAATCTTTTTGTAGATCTATTGTGAAACTACATACCAGTATATTGTACATTTATTTTAAGGTCTATATTCTCTATGAATGTGCAAAAGCCCTTTTCAGGGCTACTTATTTTGAATTGTTCCTTTCGGATAACTGAAAGGATATGAGAACAGGAACTGGGTATAACATCCGCTTTCCCAGGAATTACTGGGTAAGTCAGCTAGTATTCTATAAAAATCAAATGCCTAGGCATTTGATTTCTATAAAATACTAGCTATAAGCAGGATGAGTCTTCCCTTAGAAACATTATAAAGAAATATACAACTCCAGTTGACAAACACAAGGTAAATTATTAATATACGATAAAAAAATTTTAAACTGCTAACCTCATTGTCAACAATAATATCTCAACTGCAAGATCCAAATTACAGAGAACCATGTTATTTATTAATTCACATGTCACTTAAGGAACTGTGTTCCTGACCAATTCAAATTCAAAAATAATTATACTGGATATACTACAACATGCATAACAAGAAGACTCACGTTACATCTCTCTGACCATAGCTCAATTACGTCTCAGTTAACTTGTTAACAATACAAATATAATAGCCTCATTCACATATAAAAATGGATAAAATTAACGGAACATTATTTATAAAAAAAGAAAAGAAAATGGCAACACTTAGTAATATCAAGTATGAACACGGCCACAATGTGCTGACCTTGCTTGGAAAATAAACATTCCTATGACTCTAGATAAATATGTAAAACAACCCCTACATTTAGTTGAAAGTAAAAATAAAACCATCCTTGATATTGGCTCAAAATATAGCCGAATGCGCTCGGATATACAGAACATTAGGTCAATTTCTACATTATTTATATCCCAGATAGATTAAACTTATAAGACAAGAAGAAAATTAAATAAAAAAACTTAACCGCAGTACCTTGTCAGTCGTTTTCAATTAAACCCGAGTTTCACGCGATCTTCAGAAAACTTGAACGCTTGAAGATAACGACTGGTATTGCTTAGAATTGTTTTGTTAGATAGATAGATAGATAGATAGATAGATAGATAGATAGATAGATAGATAGATAGATAGATATGTTTCTATTTTGGTATAGTAATAAATTCGCTTTATTTTTTTATGCAAAAAAAATATTTATTTTTTTAGCATCATCTACTTGCTTAACAACGCATTTAATTCAGTCGTGAATATTGACCACTGATTGTATCGGTCGAACATATTTCAATGAATATCTCCGAACAAATTTCACCCAATTGCATCGGTTTAGGTACATATTGATCCATATATACGTTTTAATTCACTTGATGGAATCTAGTTCAGAAAAGGTATTTCCAAAGATATTTTTTTGGCATCATATCTTTTCATTTTTTGCGCTTCAGTCAACCTATGGGGGTTCAATGATCTGAAGATTTGTTTCCGTTATCATCAATATCCCCCGATTTTTGATTTTTATAAAGACCGTGATATTGGCAATACTCATGAAATTAGATCTGCTGTTGTCACAGACATTATTTTATCATAATGATTTAGTAATTCTAAAGCAGAGTAGAACTGTAAGTGTCGCTGTACTTTTCTTACTTTTGCTTCAATCATTTCCCTTCTAATTATCTTAACAGGATCACACTCTGGATAATGAACCAAATGAAAAGTGCTTGCGTTGTACACTTCGTAAAACTTACTTAACCTCGTCATAGATAATTAGAAGCTAATTTTCTTTTCCTTTCACTTGGGATATAATCAGTCCTCATTCGTTCATTCTTTGCCTAATCTTACGTTACTTTTTCATATTTCTTTCCTTCACGAAAGATAACATTTATTCACTTAACTTTATTATATTTTTTCATTCATGTAGCAATAAGCGTAAAAGTTCTGCTTTCTAACCTATTATCTATAAAATAGAAGCTTTAACAGCAGAAAGACCCGTATATATTTTTTATATACTAGCATTCACTGAATACAAATATCTCAACTCACTCCGGGTTGAGGTATACGGTCTTTAAAACGAGGTGGTAAGGCGTGAAGATTATGAGAGTAAGGCGTATAGATAATGACTAAAACTTGACTAAATAAAAATGGCTTGATATATATACTGCTCAGAACTTACGCTGTTTTTTCTTTTCATCTCATTTCGAGCTGAATGTTTTCTCGATAACTTACGTTCCCTCAATAAAATGCATTCCCTTGATCGGATTATTTATTCTGCTAGTCGTATACCTAAGAGCGTAGAAGTTTCGTCTTCAAAGGCGCAAGAACCAATGTAGGTAGAGGGTTACTGAAAGCTGTAGGAAGTGACGATTACGCGTATATATAACGATTGACTCTTCATTTAAAAGAAGCTCCAGTTGTCGTGTTCAGAGCAGCAATCATGCCAACGTCTAATAGTATTTGCTGAGAAAAGACTGTTTGAGAGAATCTTCCTCTCTAGATTCTTTACATACAGAGGAAATGAAAGTGTATGTAGCATGGCGCGTTCTTGCTGTAAAGGTCTGAACAGGGGGAAGAAATGAACGGATCTCATCCGAATATTTGCCATGGTGATCACGATAAATTAACAATATGATATAAGATATTGCATCTGCGGGAAAAAGTGTCTGCAAAGTGAGAAAAATTCATCTTCCAAACGACAGCATAAACGATTTTAAACTCTGTTAAGACTGAAAAGGATATATACAACTGCTTCAGCCCAGATATGGCAGCAATACGCATTATTATGTCTAACCTGATTCTTTTATAAACGACAGAAAGAGTCAAGTAATTTCTGAATCGAATAGAATGAGCCGATCATTTTTACAGCATTTTTAGTGATGGGTCTTGTTTATTTCGTCTGGATATAACTTGAAACAATAGACGTTCCAAATATGAAGCCTCGTTTTTTATGAAAGTTTTTATGGTAGTTATCAGAATAGTTGCATTACAAGAGAATCAGCAGTCGGCATATTCCTTAAAATATATATTGTCGTTAATATATTTGTTCTCTTAATCACCTTGAACATTGCAAGTCATTCTGATCTGAAGAGACTTGCTTTGTAAACTGTCCAAGTTTTATGCGGCAGTGGTTTATGCGTGTGAAGTATTATATCATTTCACCCCAAGCAAGGCAATAAAGCCACTAAAACACAAGGCCTTATGGAGTGTGAATGAATGTGAGATAAAAACGTTATTAAGTAGTGGAGACAATAAAACAACAGGGTTCAATGAAATGGAAGATAACGATTGATATTTCATTTGATTGTTTGAAGAACAAACATCACTGGAGAGCAAGAAGCGCTAGAAAAGAAACTGTTATCATAGATCTTAGGGTCTAAGGACCTGTAGACAGATATCACGTCGGCATGGTTCAACACCTCTCCAGTGTTCACCCGATCACTTATGGTGCCAATGTCTCGTCGAGCTGCTTCAATTCGCCGGGTTGGGTACGGTTATATGATCCTAGACACTTATTCCCTAGCAATGGATGTGTCAATGTAGATAGACGAGTTAATCCAAAAAATATGTAACTCTTTAATATCAACGAGCAAGAACTAAGCAAAGTACTAAGGAACGGAAATATTTTATAAGAATTAAAGAAAAGAATTTTGATCTGCTATGTCTTACCAATCGTCTTACATTAAGATAGAATCCAGGGTTGTAATATTCGTTAGGAATATATTGTCGGTCATAACATGTTTATGTTCTCTTTAATTACCTTGATCATTGCAGGTCATTCTGATATGATGTGATGCGTGTAATATACTTACAGGAGACGATCATGAAAGACTTTAATAAAAGATGCGTATCAAGTAGAAAAGGTGACGAGATATTGGCGGAATGCAATGATTATACATATTAATTATGATTATGATTCTATATTAATTTCTTTAAAAAAAACTCTGACCTTTATAAATGTTAGAACAGAGCAAACTTTGCCAAGATGTTCACCTTAGATAATCAGTCGTTTAGAAGCGCCAAATTGTTGGTCGCTATTGAACACAGTTCTTAAAAAATATATTTGGCAGTTAAAAAAAAAACTAATGAAATTGTATATTAAATAAAGGAAAAAATTTTAAACTCTACAGTAAGCACTATTTACATTATTCGGACTATTGTCCTCGTCTTTGTCGCCATATTTATTACAATGTCTCGGCCGTTGTAAGCTCCAGCCTTCTTCAGGTGGTGGGAATGTCGAACCCTTTATTTCGCTCGCTGGGGTAGACTGTTCTAGTTCCACATGCCATGTTTAATGGATGTCAGTTATCAGTTATCCCCTGTTAATTCCCCTCTCCAAGTTCTCCACTGCCTTAAGCGGGTATTGAACTCACATTGGGCCCTGTCACTGGATCTAACTAACGCCTTTATCCACTGTGCCACGTGTCCTTGAGTACAACGGCCGAAACGTTGTAATAAATATGGCGACAAAGATGAAGATAGTAGTCCGAATAATGTAAATAGTGTACATAATACCTCATCTCAGAAATATAGACAGATACTGAAGTCTACTACAGTTCCTATTTTGTAGACTTATAAAGAGAATAGTGCTAATCTTTCGTTAAATAAGTATAGATATTTTTGCTTATGGCATTATCACTTTGAAACACGGGTAGTTAAGCAACGCTGAGTCAAGTGATAACTTCACTTGGGTACACTAGGTGTTGTAAGCTTGGATATATGAGAGGTGTGAGCGATAACGATTTGGAATGAGAAATCGGAAAACCGTATTCGAATTCTATTCGTGTTTATTATATTCACGTACGCGTGAAATAACCTTAGGAAAGGTGTGAATCCATCTCCGCCCTACGTCACACAGATATGTGTTAAAATAAAAGGGCGGATTAAATCTTGTAGCCTTGGTTGTCAACCAGTCTTCTACAGAAAGTAACGACCGCCTACTGCAGAAAATCTGCCAAGTCTGACAGGAATTGAAAAGAGACAGGATCCTCCAAGCGTTCATCACGCATGGAGTCTGTGGAATAAGTACTTTTAAAAAGGAATAATTTTCAGCTATTTCACCTCATCTTTTCATGTTCTTCTTTACAAACGTGAAATTCTATCAAGTATTATTATTATTTAAATAAATAAACATATTCTTTATGGTTTACCTGTTTAAAATATATGCAAGGATTTACAATGCACTATACAAAGTAATACGTATAGTCCGAATGTTCTGCTATGAATCTTTATAGGTGAAGAATACCATTTCCGAAGAAAAAAAATTAGAAGTGACAGTCTGTTTCATGCTAGACGCAATCATCAGGCCACATATATATGCAATAAGTATATTCTAGCAGAACCAAGAATGTTTTACGAATGGAGGTGACCATGGCTCTTCACATAGTCCTTTTGTTTAATTTCTGTATTTCATATATTAAATGTCAGGACAAAGCATCACAGACGAAGGAGAAAACTGGAATAAGAGAAATATGGTTCTACAGAAGGATGCTGAGAATACCATGTGCTGAACATGTGAGCAACGGCGAAGTTTTAGAGAAAATGGAACCAAAAATCACTTATATATAACATATGAAACATATATAACAGTTGAAATCTCTATGTTTCCTAATGAGAAAAAGGGCGCTTCGATAATTTGACCCTGACAGGAAATACCGAATACAAGTGGAACAGAAGAAAGCAGCAATTAATATCTGTAACGAAGATGTGTAAATTTCTAGGGTACATAATGAAAAAAGAGGGCTTGAAGAATTTGACGACTCACAACTGTTTAGCATTCTTTTCTTGATCTCTAAAGACAATTTTCTGTTTTTTAATATTTTGTTTAGTTTTGGAAAGGCATATTTTACTATTCCAATTCTCCCTTCGGATTCTTGTATCACGTTTTCTTTCATCTGTTAAAATACTGTTCAGTTAATTTCGTGTACTTGCTTACACAAACATCCACGGCATTAACTCTCTAAGAATTACATGACGAAAGGTTCCCAATTGATTCTTTCGCTCCCAAGCAAGGCGATAAAGCCACTAACACCTAAGCGAGTTACTATGGATGAATGACAGAGTGAAAAAACAGTATAAGTTTTTGTTTTTTGTTTTGTTTTGTTTTTTTTTTTAATATTGTAATTGACAGGAAAGCAAGAAGCTGGAAAAGAATTCG